CTCCTTCCTGTCTCAGGATAAAAAGGATCTCAGGAACCCACTTCGTGTGGTAGGAGCTCCTAGTGGTGGGTTATAAACAACCCTCGGTTACTGGGATAGTCAAATTGCAACCATAATCCGTGACTCAGAGCAGTGAATGTGACATTGGTAAATTCTACTTTGAGGGCCTGACCACTGCTTCCCTGGAATTTTGCAGACCTTTGGAATTGGGGGCACTTACATGGTTGTCACTCCCAAGCTTTCTCTGAGTTGGCCTCACCTGAGCACTAGAGAGTTGGTTGCAGAAGTGTCTTTCTGCAGTTTTCCAAGCACTTTATGCAAAGAGTGAGAACTTCCGTTTTTTATTACTATCCTGTTAGTGTGCCCTAACCTTTTTCACCTCATAACACAAGCTGGCTGAAGCATAGGATCAACACTGAGTGCTTTGAAAGAGAGCTGTTTGATTCCTGTTCACTGAATGCCGTTTCTTTCAGGGTAGATTTAAGGGCTCTGCCCTTAAAGTACATTGCTGTTGACCCTAGTTTCAGGGTTCAAGCCACCCCATGGGTTAACTTCAACAGATGAAAATTTTTCCTTGGCTACAGCAACATCCCTAATCCTGACCAGCCATGGAGAGGTTCGGTTCTTGCAAGGAAAATGAGTGAATGTGGGAATGGCTCACCACATTGGGAAAACAAAACTCACATCCTGCTGATGGTTGGCTGAGGACTGTCATGTCCACATACAAAGAAAAGCATGTGGCACAGTTTTAGGACAAAGGTGAGCAGAGATCCACCGTGGAAAGGGGCAAATTTTTCTTATAGAGAGAACATCCAAGGCGTGCCCGGCGGTAAGCAGTACTGGCGGGTGACAGCAGGCACACGCATGGAGGCTTGCTTTCCCTCGCTCCTCGTCCCCACGCCCCGTCAGTCAGCTGGTGGTGCGCACCCCCTTAGTCATGCCCTGTTCAGTGAAGAGTTTGGAAGACGGAGATGGCCCTAAGCCGTTTCTGGAGGGGTGAGATAGACTCCCCAGCCTCTTTAGTAGGACATACAGCGTGGTATTTGGGACCATTGGTGTAGGTTATTAGATCAGGGGAAGACTATTCAGCAGCAACACAACCTCAGGTGGTAATTTTTCTTGGGTGAAAAAGTGTGATTAAGATTTTGAAAATTGAACTCTTGGAGTACTTTAGTTTTAAAAACATGTCATTCCAGTTCTAGAATTTCAGAGTTCTGACTGATAGTCTGAGCAGTACACAGCTGTTGAATGAGGAAGACCAGCACATTGGCAGTGGTATAAGAATGGACTAAAGTTTAGAACAGCCCACGTAATTCAATGTGGCTTTTGTTTGTGGTATCCAGAATACCTATCTATAGTTGGTAAGAATCATGGTGCCCACTTTTCTTAGAAAATGGCAGTAATTCCTCGGCCATCATTTTTTGACTAAATTTGTTGGGATTAAATGTGATCTAGAGGAAAAGAGTGGGAAAAGGCAATAGCAGAGAAACATTGAAGAAAGGAGTTTTTCTTTTAATTGAAAAAATTTACATTTAATAGTTAGGCCATGCTTTTTGTTATTTCACATAGGTGTAGAGAGAAAGGTCGAAAAATACAACATCTGGGAGTCAAGCCAGAGGAGGCATATTGGTGGGGTTTTGGTTTGGTTTGGTTTTTATCAGTCCCTACCTTAGAGGGATTTTTTAATTTGTCGTAGATTCATTCTCCTGAATTCCTTCATCATCTTCATTCTCATACTAGAATTACTGAAAGATGGTTGTTTTTAATAGAGAAGAGGAGGGGTGTCTGCAGCTAGAATTGAGAAATTTATCTGCTGGGTTATGTTTGTAAGGCTTATCTACAGGTCACACCAGAGATATGTCTACATAAATACACACATGCCGACACATAGTGTGTGCACACATGAATGCGTGTATTTTATATCCCTCCTTTGACAAATGATTCAAAAGGAGAGTACTTTTTGGGAGAGGAGATTAAAGCACAAAGGGATGTTAAGATCGATTTAGAAAGATTCTCCCATGTTACCAGGAAGAGCTTTGCTTTCTTAAAGGCAGTAGAATTTAATTCAGAGACAGTTAAACTATTTAAATAAAACTAAAATTTCATCCCACTGTTAAGCCAGAGGAAGACTAATTTTCATTTTAACTGTCATACTTTTGATGTTAGGAGAAACCTCAGAGATACGTAGTATAGCTCCCTCATTTCACGGATAAACTAGGATCCAGAGAAATAAAATGATTTAAATGTGCTTTTCAGAGTTGGTTTATTGCAGAACCAGGACTAGAACCCTCCTGCTGCTCCAGTCTTAGGTAGAGTTCTGGAGTCATGCCACAGGCTTTGAATGTCAGCTTTGCTGTTTTATTATGCACATTGTTTAATGTGATGTGCCTGTTTCCTCATCTGTAAAACAGATAACAGTACCTGGCTCTTGGGTATTGTGATTATTAAATAAGATAACATTGTTTAGTACATAGAGATTACTTAGTAAATATTAAGTACCATTTTATTGTTGCTATCTAGTCTTCCTGCCTTAATTGAGGAACCCATTCACTCCACTTACTATTACTCCAGTTACTTACCGAGTGAAGTAATTCTTGCAGTAAAACTGATCTAAATAAACAGTGATGTGGTAGAAGCAACCACACACTGATCTGGTCTTTACTTTGCTCTCAGAACAGGAATCCTATCAGGTATGGTTTATGGTGCAGGAGTATATTTGGTTTAGTCTTCCAGGCCCACCCAGCATGTCAGTGACAGAGAGAAGTAACAGTCAAGTTCCTGATTTAATCCTTGGACTGGACTTTGACACTAAAATGTTCCAAATAGATTTTGTGGCTTTTCACAGAGTAGTAGCCAAGATTTTTCTGTGAAATAAATTTGATCTTAAGTCAGCTGTTTTAATAAGTTACTAGGATATCCCCAAAATGTGGCTAAGTAACTTGCTTGTTGAAGAAAATGGGGTGTTCTGTGACTTCTTTATTTAATCCTCGGGAGTCAGCATTGTCCTTATGACATCACATCAGATGAGTTAGGGGCATTGAATGGTGCCAAGCCAGTGTGAACTCTTAGAGGGGCGTGGAGGCCATTTTATCATGCCCGTGTTGGATGTTTTCTCTCATCCCTCTATACTTGGCATCTGGGCAAGTGGACAAAGCAGACCTGTAACCAATCTTGACAACTAAATTAAGGAAGGTACTCTTGGGGGCAGAAGGTATTTTATGATCTATTTAGGAATAAACCAAAGCAGAAAGTAGTTAGATTTGATTTTTTTATTAGCTCTTTTTTATTTATTTTGTCTTTAAAAATGATAGTATAGCTTTCCTGATGACTCACTCTATTTAGGAAAGAAAAAAGTAGCTGCAATATATTTTATCTATTAAAGATTTTTAATGATCATAAAGCACTTTTTAACATAGGAAGGTATTGATTTGGAGAGGCTTTACTTTGCCAAATATGACAATCATGGTCAAAATCATTCCTATTACGCTGCTCGGCAATTCCAGCTTATGGAAGTGTGAAACCATGTTTTAAAGATTTCATAACCCATAAGTTGAGCCAGGTGTCTTCTGAATTGTGTTATTGCAGAACATTTCCCATTAAACACTGGGTGTTTCTGTGTTACTTTTCTTTAATGGAGTTGAGATTCAGTGCCTCTTAAAGTTTGAATGCCACTCATAGACATTTCAGCATAAAGAACCCTCCAGAGTTTTTAGCTGTACATTGTCACCTTGAGAGACTCTTGTTTGATAGAAACTCTTTAATCTTTAGTAAAGGAGGAATTCCTCAATTCTGAGTTCTCTCACTTAACATGTTGCTGAGTACAGCATTACATGCTAAAGAAACTGGAATAATTTTGGTCAGGCTGGATAAACTTCTGGCAAGTCTTTTTAGTTCCAGTAGGTGTAAACCCAGAGGGAAACGGTAGTCAGTATCTGCCTATATACATAGCTCTGTTAGAGTTTAAAGATGTTGCTTGTAACTTGTATGATGAAGATGGTTTTGGTTTTTACGTATAGGCAGTGCTCACAAAGCTAGACTTTTCACAGCCACATCAGAGCAAACTAAAATTTCTTGATAACAGTTGATAGGGCATTTGTTTAACCTTGCTTATAAATATCTTGCTTATAAATATCTTAAAAATTTTGCCTTTTAGTTTTATAAGTTGTACTCTTCAGCAGGCATTAATAGGATTGGGGTAGGGGGTTGTTTTCTTTTGGATATATGTTAAACCACCAAACCTGTTTGCTGGGAAATTCCTAGCACTACTGTGTAAAAGAAGTTTGCACAGTTGTTTATAGATTTTAGAGAATTCCAGCCTACCTAAAACCTCATGGAAATGAATTTGGAATATCACGAGGAAGAGAATAGCTCCAGATTTTTTTCACTGGTAGTTTCTAGAATAGTTAATGCACTTGTGACTTATTTGTTTAGGTAGAGAAATGGGAACTTAAAAAAAATTTTTTTCTTTCACTGAGGAGAGTCAAGGTACTGTGATTTTTTTTTTTTTTTTTTAAACCTGGTTTGTTATTCCAAACATGATTTAACAGTTAAGACACAGTGCCTAAATGTAGGTCTAATTGTTCTCTAAGATACCACTTTGGGGCTAAAGCTAAAAAAAAAAAATGAGTTTTTATGTGACTTGAAAGAGCGAATATTCAATCTTGTAGAATTATGTATTTTAATACCTTATACCAGGCATCCCTGTGGAGGTCTTTGCAGTTGCCACCAGCTACTTGGGGAACAGAAGACGTGGTCTCTGTATATTTAGCCAGCCTCCTATTAGAAAGACAGGAGTCAGCCTTCAAAAGTCTCCCTGCCCTCTTGCAGTGCCTGTGGGCACAAAGCTGAGTGGTTTCTGCTAAAGGGAAGAGAAAGCTGATCCATAGTTTGCAAAACCCACCTAACCTTTGCTAAGCATGAACCTCATTGCTTTCTCTTTAATGTTAGTGAAGCTGGGTGTCAGAAGGGTGCCAACCAGGATTTTGTTTGCTTTCTTCTAGATATGGGTTTGTGGAGTTTGATGATCTGCGAGATGCAGATGATGCTGTTTATGAACTGAATGGCAAAGACCTTTGTGGTGAGCGAGTAATTGTTGAGCATGCCCGCGGCCCGCGACGAGATGGCAGTTACGGTTCTGGACGCAGTAAGCATTTAAAGGGCATTTGTATCAGTGACATGCCTCCATTATTAAATGTGAATTTTTAAAGTAATTAATTAATTAAAGTTACATTGAAATGTATTGATATTTAACCATTTGTTTTATAAATTTATGTATCCTTTTAAATGTAAAATTGCAAATAAACATCTTTAATAATGTTTAATTGTAATTAAATTAATGACATAAATTTCTTGTTTTAATACTTTATAATTATGTTTAATGATGTGTGTTTGTGTTGTTTTTTTTCTCTGTAATGCAATTGTTTAACATAGATTTAACAAAGACCTCAATGTTTTAATTAAAAGAATCCTTTGAGGCTAAGATGACTGCCTGTTCCATTTGCTGACCTTGGGTTACCTTTCCATGCGTGGCTCTTTGAACCATTGTGGCCCTTGGCTGACCAAAAACAGGAAGCCATGTGACGACCGCAACCTTTCCCCATTAGACCTGGGTGGTGAGGATCCCAAGGGTTAGACACAGATGAGATTAAACTGAAATAGGTGCCTGAAAATCTTTTTTTCGTATAAAATGTTCACAAAAACTTTAATCACTGTGAGTAACACCAGTAACTGATTTAGTAATTTGGTTAGTTATTTCTAAATTGTTAAATTGTTGATAGTTTTTAATTTATGCATGTTAATTTTAAATATAAATATTAATGAATATACATACTTACAACTTTGTAAATTAAATTAAATTTTCATGTTAGCTGATTGCTCTTTTTAAAATCTAGATTAGAATTAAGGGTGGGGGTAGAGTTAAAATATATACTCTTTGGGGTGGGGGTAGATGGTATATTTAAGGGGAATATGTGCTGTATCATTTTTTCTTTTTCCTCCACTGAAGTAATCTCATCTATTTGAACCTTCCAAAGGTGGATATGGTTATAGAAGAAGTGGCCGAGATAAATATGGCCCTCCTACCCGCACAGAATACAGACTTATTGTGGAGAATTTGTCAAGTCGGTGCAGCTGGCAAGACCTAAAGGTTTGGGCCCTGTTAACCTTCTGGGTTACAGTTGGGCAGGAGTTAAAGTTGAGTTAAGGAAAGAGGTTATTTTACGCAGGCCCAGGCACACAGAGAAAACTTCCCCAAAGCATTTGGAGATTTTCCAATTAAAGTTTCCATAGGAACACAAAAGACACTGGAATCTCACTGCTACTGTATATTATGGGGCCAGCATGCTAAGGACAACCTATGTTATGTGAAATTTTCCTCTGTAGAGAATGTTACAGAGAGATAACAATGTAGTTTCTCCCTAATAAAAGAAAAAACTGCAGCCAGCAGTTTCCTGCAGTATTAGTTGTAATATGCAAGTTTGTGTCAGCTTTCATTGTAGAGCCTCATTGGTGAAAATGACTCTCTGACCCATGTTCTTTTCTAAGATTTGTTTTTCATTGAATATTTGTTCTGAAAGAGTTTTAATGTCAAGAAGTACAGTCCAGTGGTGTACTGGCCACGTAGTGTACTGATCACAGCTCATTTTTTGAAAATGGTGTTGGTTTTTAATCTCAAAAGGGAAAAAACCTTACTGAGCGTACCTTAACCTGGGTGGTCTTAGGAGGGCAAATGTAAAGGTTGCTCAGAGTTTCCTATCTCACTTCTCATTTTTAGTCCATCATTAAACAAGTCATCTCTAGCAAAATGAGTGAGTATGTTTAGGTTCAGCAAAAAAGTAGTAACTTATCAAAGCACTTTTACATCTTCTTTTTTCTTTTTTTTTACATCTTTATTGGAGTATAATTGCTTTACAATGGTATGTTTCTGCTTTATAACAAAGTAAATCTTTTTTCTTTTTTTAATGTGCTCTCAATAGTCTTTAGCGAACAAAGATCCAGAAAACGTTAATTCGCACAGTTGGTCTTAGCAGAAGAGCTGAGACTAAAACATATGCTGGTATTTTTTCTAGTACACTGTGTTGGTTGTCAGTATTACAGCAGGCCCTTACTGAGTGTCTGCCAACAAGACTGTCCTCTCTGAAGGAATGACTCCAGTATTCTGAGAGTTAAGGATTGAACATTATGGGTAGAAACTAGAAAGGCTTTCAAACTTGGGGTTAAAATGGAGCCTAGCCAACGTCCTCAGTTGGTTTCATACTTCTGTGTGTTCGGCAGTTTCCCTCTCAGCAAAGGAGAGTAGTCGAGCCAATTTCCTAGGAAGTCAAGGGCCTTCAGAGCAGGACTTTGGAGCTCACCTGCCTGGACGGAATCCCAGCTCTGCCACTTATCAGTTATTTTACTTCAGCAACTTACTTTGCTCTTGCACTTCATATTCCTCAACTATAAAATGGGGAAAATATTCATTTCTACTCAGAGTTATTGTGAGAAATGAATGCATTTTTATATAAAAAGCCTAGAATGGTTCCAGGCACAAATGCTAGCTATTAATCACGGAAATGCAAAAATAAAACTAATGTAAGGTGGTGTATTGTTAGTTTTGAAAAATGTATAAATTCATAATACCCAGTGGTGGTGTTGAGTTGAAATTTATAGAGTAGTGGCATTGAGAATTGGTCATTTTACCCACGGTGCAGGTGGTGCTAAGAATTTAGGTCCTAAAGTCTGGCTGCTTATGTTCAGACCCCAGCTCCTTCACTTACTACCTGAACGACCTTGAGCAGTTTGCTTAATATCTCTTGTATTTCACTTCCCTGTAAAATAGGGATAATGATTGTATCTACCTCATGTGGCTGTAAATAGGACTAAGTTAATTAAATCCTACCTATCATCCAGTGAACATTCAATATGTTAGCAGCTATTATTATTAATTTGGAAGTATGGCAATATATCAACTTGCCCGGGACAGTCCCAGGTGTGGCATAACTTAATAGCATCTTACTTTACTCTTAGATGTATCCCAGTTTGGATGATAAATTATATGGGCTCCCTGCCTTTTTCCCAGAGCCCCCATTCCTGCAAATAATTCAGCTGAAGTAAAGAAATTTTTGCATGAAGACGGTCATTGCTAGATTATGAATAATGGCCAAGGACTATATATAAAAGCCAGAAGTCCCAGCAATTGGGAAATCCTCAGAAAAAGTATTGGACACACTAATTATGAAGAATGTAATGTATGTTAAGACATGTAAACATTTTATGATGCAGTGAGTAGAGGAATAGTATCAAATGGCATATAGTCAGTGTTTGTAACTTTGCAAAATAGGGAGAGGAAAGCAATAACAAAAATGAACTGCTATTGAATATTCATGTATTCATTCCACAAATGTTTATTATTGAGTATATATTATATATAAACAAACATGGGGAAATTGGCCACAAGACCCCAGATTTCATTTTCTTTTTAAACACTAATCACATCTTCTCTTATTTATATATCACTTCAGTATTTATCTGTCATGTTAGTTGTATTCTCTCATTGGGTTATATTAAGTCCTCAAAGAGAATGAGGAAAGAGGCTTACAATAGTGAAGGGACATGGGTGGTCAATCCACTTCAAAGCCAGAGCTGGAAAATATTGTTCTGTTGTCTTTTTGTCTTTCATAATCCATTTTTGAATTTGTTTACCTTTTACCTTAGATGTTTATCCACAGCTATACATGTTTTCAATAAGAATTTATGATGAAATGCAAAAGACCTGCGTTAAATGTAGTAACTTGAGCTTCTAAAGCTTCTGTAGACAAAGAACTTGCCGCTATAAAATTTGGGAAACGTTAGTTAACTAAAAAATTTTATATTCAAACAAAACTATTTAAAGAAACAGTTAAATCATTTATTTATTATCTCAACTACCCACCTAATGCCCATCACTTCAGAGAACCTCAGTAAATGGTCGGTGTGTAGTAGGAAATACTTACGAGTCGACTTCATTCTGAGGAAAGCTAGCATTTCTTCCTAAAGGAAAGGGAAAACTTTCATTATGATGATTGTTAGATATTTTCACAAAATGTGTCTTAACCTATTGGGGGATTTTGTTTTTCTTCAGGATTATATGCGTCAGGCAGGAGAAGTGACCTATGCAGATGCTCACAAGGGACGCAAAAATGAAGGGGTGATTGAATTTGTATCTTACTCTGATATGAAAAGAGCTTTGGAAAAGTTAGATGGAACTGAAGTCAATGGCAGAAAAATCAGATTAGTTGAAGACAAGCCTGGTTCTAGACGACGCCGGTCCTACTCCAGGAGCCGGAGTCACTCAAGGTACTACTGATGTGTTGGCGCTTGCTGTAAATTCATTAATGAGCACATAGATAATCCATTTTCATTCTTCTGTTGAAGTCTCAGTACCATGGTTCCGTCTGGTCCAGTTACTCAGAACTTTGAACTGAACATTTATTTGTAAAACTCTTGAACTCTTTTGTCATGAGTCCAAACAGAAGTAAAGTCCTTTCTCTGACGCAGGTATCAGTGACCTTCTCTCACATTTCTTCTCGGGTCCCCTAAATCATACCATTACTGGGGGTGAACATGACAGCTCACCCCTTGTTACTCTCCCAGATACTCCAGCTACTCAGGAGTGGAGACTTTGTCTTATTTGGTGGCTGTTTTGCAGATGTGCCAGGCATTTGTGAACAAGACACACATGCTCCGTACCCTCATGAAACTCAATCTAGTGGAGAAGACAGGCATTGAGCAAATAATTACCATTGTGATAAGTATGTCAAAGGGAAAGTACGCGGCCCAGCTCGTCCAGAGAGCTGGCAGAGGCTTCCCTAAGGACATGTCATAGAAGCTGAGATCTAAAGGATGAGTTGGACATGGTGGGCAGAGAGGGGGGATAGTGCCTTTTTAGCAGAGAGAGCAGCGTATTTTGAAGGCCGTGTTGTGGGGAAGGAGGAAGCAGAGGAGCGTGGCTTGAGATGAGGCAGAGAAGAGCGAGATCCTGCTGAGCCACAGGCCAGGTTAAGGGTTTAAGAGTAGTGGGAAGTCATTAGTCTAAGCTTTTCAGGTTTTGTTGTTTTGTTGTTGAACTCTTTATTATGGAAAACAATACATAAAGCATTGGAGAAAATATGAACCTTGAGTTCCCTTACACTTATCACCCATCCAGCTTCAGTATCTTTTATTTTGCCAGTCTTGTTTCATCACCCCCGCCTGCTTCATTGTTTGAAGGCAAATCTAGACATCCTGTCATTCTGCCTATAAAGGGGGTATCTCTAAACTTTTATTTTATAAATTAATTAATTTATTTTATAAATTGATTGATTTTTGGCTGCATTGGGTCTTCGTTGCTGTGCCTGGGCTTTCTTTAGTTGTATCATACAGGGGTTACTCTTCATTGCGGTGCACGGGCTTCTCATTTCGGTGGCTTCTCCTGTTGCGGAGCACGGGCTCTAGGCGCATGGCCTTCAGTAGTTGAAGCATGCGGGCTCAGTAGTTGTGGCTCGTGGGCTCTAGAGCACGGGCTCAGTAGTTGTGGTACACAGGCTTAGTTGCTTCACGGCATGTGGGATCTTCCCAGACCAGGGCTCGAACCTGTGTTCCCTGCATTGGCAGGTGGATTCTTAACCACTGCGCCACCAAGGAAGCCCTAACCTTTTAAATAAAATCATGAGGCCATACCACAGCAACACATCTGTATTCAACTTTCCCCAATTGCCTCAAATATGTATGTATTTTTGTAGTTGGTTTGTTCATATTAGAATCCCAACTAGGTGTACACATTGCAATCAGATGACATGTGTCTTAATTCTCCTTTTAATCATGGCTGCATCCTCCTTCACCCTCTTTATTTTCCATCCATTTAGTTGTGGAAGAAACGGTTTTCTGTTTTGAAATTTTTTCCATAGTTGAGATTTTGCAGATTGTGCTCTTCTGGTGATGTTTAACACATCCCTTTATCTTGTCCCTCATATTTCCTATAAAGTCATAGTTAGGTCTTGCGGGCATTTAGAGTAAGGCCAGTATTTTAGCAGGTGCTTTGTACTTCCTGTTGCAGCACTTGTGTGGTGTCTGGATGTCCCACTTTGAATGATGATAACATGCATCCATGTGAGCCGTCCATTATACAGTTCTGCACCAGCATTCCGCCTAATAGTGGAATTATTAACATCTGCTGATAATCATTACCTCCAGCCATTCAGCTGTGCTTGTAACATTCTGACTGTCTAGTTTTCTGTTCTTTGTGCATTTAAAGGCTGTAGTTCTATGAAGGATGATTTCCCTCTTCCACCCTTTTGCTACCACCCTAAAATAAATTTTTTATAAGAAATGGAAAATAAAAGTTGATACCTTTATTTACCAATTTCCAGTATATTGAATGTGCCCAGCAACACCCAAAGGTGGTGGTGAGGTTGCTTGTTTAGTATTATTTTGAATGAATTCTTGGATCTTCGCATATTTAATGTTTGGTCCATTGCAGTCAATTTGTTTTTGCTCAGATTGTTCTGTCTTTGGTCATTGGGAGCCCTTCAGGTTGGCTTCTCTGTCTTTTGGTTTTGTTTGATTTTTGTGTGACTGTGCTTTACTAAATATTTCCCCCAATTTTTTATTGCAGCATTTTCAAACATAAAACGTTGAAAGAATAGTTCATAAACACTCATATGCTCTCCTTATAGCTTCAACAGTTACTGAAATTCTGCCTTTCTCTCTGTATATTTATAGACACCCCCTATACATAAATAAATGTAGCATTTGAAGGGAGGTTGTGGAGAGTGACATTTCACCCCCAGATGCTTCAGCATGTATCTCCAAGAATGCGGATAAGCACAATTCTGTCTTCCAACCTAAGAACATTAACAGTGATCCCGTAAAGTCATCTAGTGTCCAGGCCGTATTCAGATTTCCCCAGTTGTTCATGGCTGTCCTTAGAGCTGTGTTTTCTCCTGGCCAGGATCCATCCAGTCACGTATTGCAAGGGGTTATTGGGTCTCTTCAGTCTGAAGCAGTCCCCCGCCTCATCCCCCCACCCTACCCCATGACAGTTACTTTTCTTAGCTTTTTTTTTTTTTTAATACTGTCCCACATTCTGAATTTCTGTTTTCCTCTTTGTATTGTTGTACTTTATCCCCGAGCTTCTATAAACTAGAAGTTAGGTCTAGAGAGGTGTGATTGAGACACAGATTAAACATTCTGAGCAAGAGTTCTTTCATAGATGATAGTGCCCAGGAATCTTTGAAAGTCTCTTTGCATCATGATGAGAGGTTCCGTCTTTGCCTTTTCTGCCCTGCACCTGGAATTGGTCATTTTCCCCAAGGAGCCCTGGTTGCTTTTGGAAGGAAACGACAGGGTCCATAGTCTCGGCTTATTAGAGACTCTTTAATCTTGGAGGGTACAGTTGACCCTTGAACAAGCGGGGTTGGGGTGCCAGCCCTTCACATCCGCAGTGCCCACACCTGTGGATTCAGCTAGCCACAGATCGTGAGGTACTGTAGTGCGTATCTATTGAAAAAACCCCATGTGTTAAGTGGCCCCGGGCAGTTCAGACCCATGTTGTTCAAGAGTCAGCTGTATTTTTAAAACAGCTCTCTGGTCTCAGTTGAATAAATAAGTGAAGGGCAAAAGTGTATGCAGGAAGGCTGGTTAGGGGGCTGCTGCGGTACCAGGGAGAGTGGTGGTGGCTTGCTGGGGGGCAGCCGAGGTGGATGAACTGGAGAAGGTTGAGAGGAGATTCAGCAGTGCAGAAGAGGGTGAGGCAGAGAGGGGAGTCGAGGGTGGCTGTGGCTCCTCGTGTGAGGAACTGGTGAATAACAACAGCATCGGTGGGAATAAGGAAGGAACCCAGCAAAAAGAACAGGTCTGGGGGGCAGTGGGTTCAGGAATGGAGGCACTGCAAGTTTCAGGCAGGCCATCCAGGTGGAGTGTTTGCGGGTGACTGGATCTCTGGGCTCAGAGCAGAGGAGAGAGTTCTCTTTCAACTTTGTACCTGGACACAGCCAGGGCCATGCATATTTTTTGATAGAAAGGATGTCTGAGTTGACTCTTTTCAGCCAGCGTTTTGTCAGCAAGTATTAAAAACAAAAAAACTTTCTCCCCTAGATCTCGCTCTCGAAGCAGACATTCTCGTAAGAGCAGAAGCCGAAGCGGCAGCAGCAAAAGCAGTCATTCTAAGAGTAGATCCCGATCCAGGTAGGTCTTCCTGGTATTCACGCAGGGCCCACATGTACCGTTTCCCACTTTGGTGTTAATGGTGTTCCCAGCCTTCCCTCACCCCAGGATTCCCAGCTCTGGACTGGAGTCTCGGGGGTTCCGAAAGCAGTCCTTGGCCAGCACAAGCCAGGCTTTGTATTGTGGGGCACAGCTCCACACATAGCTTTAGTCTGTTCTTCTCATGAGCAGCCTGAAAGTACGAAGTCACATGCGGCTTCGCCCCGTGTCTCCCCAGGTCAGGCTCCCGTTCCCGGAGCAAGAGCCGCAGCCGCAGCCAGAGCCGCAGCCGCAGCAAGAAGGACAAGAGCCGGAGCCCCAGCAAGGACCAGAGCCGGAGCCGCAGCCGCAGCCCCGACAAGCGCCGCAGCAAGAGCAAGGACCAGGCCGAGGAGAAGGTCCAGAACAGCGACAGCACCGGCAAGTCCAAGAGCCGCAGCCCCAGCAGGCAGAAAAGCAAGAGCAGAAGTAGAAGCCGCAGTCAGGAGGGGGGCGCGCAGGAGAAGCGGGGCAGCGTGAGCAGGAGCAGAAGCAAGGAGAAGAGCCTGCGCAAGAGCCGCAGCCGCAGCCGCAGCAAAGGCGGCAGCCGCAGCCGCAGCCGCAGCAAGAGCAAGGACAAGAGGAAGGGGAGGAAGAGAAGCAGGGAGGAGAGCCGCAGCCGCAGCCGCAGCCGCAGCCGCAGCAAGAGCGAGAGGAGCAGAAAGCGAGGCGGCAAGCGAGACAGCAAGTCGGGCAGCAGCAAGAAGAAGAAGAAGGAAGACGCCGGCCGCTCCCAGTCCAGGTCGCGATCCCGCTCGGGCTCGAAGGAGCGGGAGCGCGCCAAGCCCGAGTCTGGCCAGAGGGAAGGCCGAGGGGAGAGTGAGGATGCTGGCGCCAATCAGGAGACCCGGTCCAGGTCGAGGTCCAATTCCAAATCAAAACCAAACCTCCCGTCAGAATCACGCTCCAGATCAAAGTCCGCGTCAAAAACCCGATCCCGGTCCAAGTCTAGATCCAGGTCTGCGTCCAGATCGCGCTCCCGGTCTAGATCTAGGTCCCACTCAAGGTCCTAACTGGCTACGGCCACAGCTGGAACTACCCGAGGAGTCTTTTGTACATGTTTGGTAGCCGTAGCACAAGTGATTGAAGTAGAACATGCGTCACTGCTGTACATTTTTAACTCCCCTAATGGTGTGTCTACAGTTGTTAAGTCTAAGCGCTTCCTCTCCGTAAAGCCTCCTGGCGTCAGGCCTTCCTGCTCGACTGAAAGCAGTCTTCTCTTTGAAAGCCCCCTTTACTCATGGCCCACAGTAGAATATCCAAAATGCCTTGGCTTTGAGGCCTGGCCTTTCCTACAGGGAGCTCAGTACCTGGATGGCTTTAAGGCTGGAATGATGACATAGGTAGGTATGGTGAGTTCAACCATTTTGCCCTTGAATTGATGCCCTTTGATGTATGCCATTTAGTGAAAGTGCTAAGTCTTAAGTTTCCTACCACTTTGGTTTCATATTTTTGGACTTAACAAAGTTGTGAATAGCACAGTCGAGGGAAATTGATACCTGCAGTAACCCATAGGAAATAAACTGTAGAGTTCCATATTCTGGTATTGTGATTATATTGTTTTATATTAAAAAAGAAAAGAAAAGAATTTTTTTTAATTTTATTTTTCCCCGTCTTGCAAAGTATAGTGACCCCTGTTTCCATTAAATTTGAATAAAGACTATTTTTGCTTGACAAAATTTCATGGTGCTTGAATTGATGTTGCATTTCCTGATCTATCTTGCTATCTTTTTCTTAGCATAAAAAGTTCATGGTATAATGGCAGTTTTGTTCCTTGAGCTCACCCATGGGTAGATAGCCAACACTTTGCCTGAAGGATTTTTCTCACCCAACAGAAAAAAGTCGAGTTTCTTAGGGGTTTATAAATCCTTCCTATCAAGACTCCTATGGCCAAGCTGATAAAGTGAATCAATTTGGCAACTCAGAGCATCACCAGATGAGCTCTTCATGAACAGAGTTCTTTCTTCTGTGGTGATTGTTGAATGTCTTGCCATGATGAATCTGAAGTGTAGGATAGCTCATCGCCTTAGAATTTGGATTAATCAAAACCAGGAAGAAAAACCATTCAGGATTACCCTTGTCCCACTCACTCTCTGCATTACTTGTCTGACCTGTCTCTCTAGGAGGTTCCAGAGATAGATAGAGTGGTTCTGATCTGGTCTCCACCGTTGAGGGACTGTAGCGAGGCATCGATCAGAGCAGGAGGGAAGCTGGAGGGCCTGTGCGACAGGCTGTGACAAGCTTGGGGGGAGAGCGAGCCCCCTTCCAGACCTGCTGCCTGTGGACGTCCTGGGGGCTGTTCCTAGATTTAAAATGCTGTCCTGTTGCCTTCTATGGACCACGCCCTGTACAACAGGCTGGGAAGACACAGTCAGTGTCTCTTGCCCTCCTGGAGTTTGTGATCTGGTTGCAAACGATAAACACCACTGGGGTGAAGTGGGCATTCAGAGAAGGGAGTTGGAACTTCACCTGGGTTTAGAGACATCTCGGAGGAGACAACACTTAGGCTGACCCTTTGGAGGTGTTGGGGTGGGAGGCCTTCCTGTTGAAAGAAACATCTGCGGAGCAAAGCCCCGGAGCTGAGAAAGCACCGGCCATGGGCGCTCAAGGAACGTGGACTTTGATAATGGGGAATGAGAAGCAAGTTTGGCCAAGTGGATCACGTTAGAGGACTTTAAATACTAGGAGGAGGAATTTGGCCCTTGAGTTACGGAGAAGATACTTGAATAGAGGATCGGGTTGTAGAGCTGTGCTGTGGAAGGTGGACTGGCGGTAAGTGATGTGAGAGATCGGATGCAGGGAGACCAGCAGTAAGTGCAGGTGCTCTGGGGCCTGAACAGAGGCAGTAACAGGAGGGAACAAAGATCAGCAGGTGACCTGGGGAAAGGAACTGTCAGAGGTGATCAAGATGGTGACACCATTCTGAGGAATGGGGAAGATGAGGGAGAGGGGGTTCAGTTGGGGAAACTTGGCATTTAAGGAACAGACGGAAGCCAGCCCAGGAAACCTCACTTCACCTCCCTGGAGCTTTCCCTGCGTTCTTGTGTCATGGTGACAAGGTGATAACTACAACCAGTAGAATTCCCACGGCCTCAGATCTTAGGTTGGTCTCCAGTAGGTGACAAGAATTCAACATTCCCTAATTTTATCCCTGTAAGGGTGGGAACGTTTCTTGGTTTTGTTTTTGTTTCTTCCAATTTTAAAATTTTTTCAGCCTTTCTCTTTTTTTTTTTTAAGCCTTTTTTTTTTTTTTTTTTTATTCTTGGCTGTGCCACGTGGCTTGCAGGGATCTCAGTTCCCCAACCAGGGATTGAATCTGGGCCACGTCAGTGAAAGTGCCAAATCCTAACCACTAGGCCACCAGGGAACTCCCTTAAGCCTAGTTTTTAAAAATTCACCTTAATTTCACACAACTTTATTTTCCCAAATTCTCTTTCAAGCATTGTTCCTATTCATTCATATTTTAGACAATTGTGTTTACATAATTTAATAAACTTTGACAATATCACAAGCATTGGAAAGTTCTCATTAAATGTTTAAGGCACATTGATTCTAACTGATGAACTTATTATCAGCACACGTGATTCCTAAGTATAATGGTATAGAAGGTCCATGTGCACATAGAATGCATTTGCAGTCATTTTTTTCCCAGCAATTTTAAAATTCATTTATATTTACTTAAATTCTGAGTGAAAATAGATAAAAACAAGAGAGATGAAAACTCATCTGTTGAGTTCCAAACATGCACCAGGGATTAGAACTTTCAGAATCATTTTGCATCTTGTTCTCATCACCATCCTGGGATCAGTGTTGTTAGGCTCAGTCACAGATGAAGAGACTCTGGCGTGATGTCCACCCACCCCCAACAGCATTAGGTTAACATTTAGTGCCTTCTGTGGGCCAAGCAATGTTCTTAGGCACTGAGACTAGAATATGAACAAGACAGGGAAGGCCCCCCACTTCTCAAGAAACATACATTGCTTTTAAGACTGGGATCGTAGGGCTTGGCCCATGATGGTCTCAGTACTGTCTTCTGTGGGCCAGTCAGTGTTCACTGTCTGGCAAATCACTGCAAACAGACTCTCCTGCCACCCCTTAGAAAACGTTTTCTAAATGCAGTTTGTTCTTGACTGCATTGTTTCCCCACGACAACAAACTGAGCCGAAGGTAGCAGTAACGTTTGAGACTAAAGTTGGGTAATGCCTGTCTCTCCCCTCCCACCCACCCGTGGTCCAGTGGAAGAAAGATCTTGGGAAGCTGAAAGAGGAAGACCCTAAGTTTGATTAATTCACCTACCAGCATCTATGAGCTAGGTGTTTTAAAGTGAACTATGTAATAATGCACATAAAAGCTGAGGACAAAAGTTCAGGCAGGAGAAGGGGTTTTGCCCAAAGTAGCACATTAGCGCTAAAATGCATCTCTAGATTTCTCTTTCTTTTTGTAAATTTTTATCATTTGTGATACAGTTACAAGAAGACATTTGCTTGAAGTGGCAACAGCCAGGATTTGAGCTCAGGTTCAAGTCGAGCAGGGTTTCTACAAGAATCTGCTTTCCTTAAAAATTTCTAAGTTGCTGCAGGACACTGCCACTAGCCCACTGCTGTGATTAAATTTTAATTGCTTTGTCATTTCGTCAATACTCAAAGGCCTACCAGGGAGTGCCCACTTGGCCAGGCCCAGGTCATCATCCCAGATTCTAGATGCCAAAGAGTGATGAGACGCTCATTTTAGCATCTACAGTGGGAAACAGTGCATTAATGCCCACAAAAATTCACTCAGTAAGGAATTTCCCCCAAAAGAGGACGCAGCCAAAGAAATACAAATGCCCACTATAATTCAACAGGATGCTCAAAATTCACAGGTACCCTTCTTTCCATACTTAACCTTCCTCACCTGCCCCCCAAAACGAGTGAAAGACAAAGTAGGAACAGAGAACAAGGTAACAGAAAACAGTAGCAAATGTAGATAAACGACATCAGTAATCACTTCAAATGTCAATGTTCTAAATAAAAGACTGGCTGTTGGTGGATTTAAAAACAAGACCCAACTATATGTTGTCTTTATATTTAAAATGGGTTTCTTGGGAATTCCCTGGCAGTCCAGTGGTTAGGACTTGGCACTTTCACTGCAAGGGCCCGGGTTCAATCCCTGCTTGGGAAACGAAGCCCCCACAAGCTGCGCAGGGTGGCCAAAAAAAAAAAAAAGGTGGGGGTCGGGGGTAGGGTTCTTGCAGACATAGTAAAAGTTAAAGTATAGAGGAAGATACCATGGTAACACTAATCAAAAGAAAGCTGGAGCAGCTACATTTCAGACAAAGCAGACCTAAGAGCAAGGAAAAGTATCAAGGATAAAGAAAGGCACTACATAACGATAAGGAGGTCAGGTCTCCAAGAAGATATGACTAATGTGTATGCACCTAACAACAAAGCATCGAATATATGAGGCAAAAACAGAAGTGTAAGGAGAAAGAGACAAATCCCCTTTACAGTTGAAAGACTTCAATATCTCTCTATCAGCAACTGACAGATCCAGCAGGCAGAAAAATCAGGAAGGACATAGTTGAACTGAACGGTGCCGTCAAGACTGGATCTAATTGACCGTGATAACATCATGCTAAGTATGCTCTCAGACTATAATGGAGTTAATCTAGAAAGATCAACAGAAAGATATCTGGAAAATCCCAAAGTACTTGGAGATTAAACAGCACACTTCTAAATGACACATGGATCAAAGAAGTCTCAAGAGAAATTTTTTTTTTTTTTTTTTTTTGCGGTATGCAGGCCTCTCACTGTTGTGGCCTCTCCCGTTGCGGAGCACAGGCTCCAGACGCGCAGGCTCAGCAGCCATGGCTCACGGGCCCAGCCGCTGTGCAGCATGTGGGATCTTCCCGGGCCGGGCCACGAACCCGTGTCCCCTGCATCGGCAGGTGGACTCTCAACCACTGCGCCACCAGGGAAGCCCTCAAGAGAAATATTTTGAGCTAAATGAGACTATAACCTATCAAAATTTGTGGGATGCAGCAAAAGCAGTCCTTAGAGGGAAATTTACAGCATTAAATGCATCTATTAGAAAAGAAGAGCTGAAATCAATAATCTAAACTTCTACTTCAGGGAACTAGAAAAAGCAAAATTAAGTCTAAAGTAAGCAGAGGAAAGAAAAATTAGAGCAGAAATCAATGAAATTAAAAGCAGGAAATCAACAGGAAACAAAAAGGTAAAGCAGGAAACAAAATCAACAAAACCAAAAGCTGAGTCTTTGAGAAAGCTGATAAAATTTCTACCTAGGCTAACCAATAAAAAAAGAAGACACAATTACGAAAAGCAGAAACATGGATTTGATCAGCTCGAGATGGGGGAGTAGGAGGACATGGAGCTCACCTCCCCCCACGAACACATCAAATAAATATCTACATGTGGAACAATTCTCACGGAAAACTGACCAGAGAACTCCTATACAACCACAGTTGCAAGAAAGATTTCCACATAACCAGGTAGGACAGACAGACGACATAGGGTCAGGACCTCCAGCCCTCGGAGGGATCTGAAAGGAAGAGAAGTCCACAAGGGTGGACCCTCATTCTGGGGAGAAAGCAGGCTGAGTCACAGACTGGATAGCCCAGTCTGGAGCCCTACAGGTAGGAGACAAGCCCCCTTGGCTACTGGGAGAACTGCAAGGACAG